GGCGCCCGCGCCGAGCGGCCGCCAGGTACGCCCCGCCGAGGCTGGCGCGAGGGGTCCGCAGCCCGGGCCAAGGTGACCTCGGCGGCCTTGGGTCCAGCCGCCGCGCCCGGTCGGGCAGCAGTCCGCCCGCCGTTAGGTGAAGCGTCGCCGGGGCAACCCCGCGGCCCGCAGGTTTCTGGAGGGAGCGAGCCGCCGTCGCCCCCTCTCTCACGACCAGGGCTTTGTTAGTTATTGCCTATGTTTGCTGGCTTCGATTACAGACGAGTCAGTGCATATCGTTCCCTACACAAGCCCTTGTTTCACGGTGTTTACAGAGCTGCCCTTCACACGCCGTGGTGAGCTTCGTTTTCCCCTCGTGGCTGTTTTCGTGACAGACCACAGCAGGACACAGGCTCTGGCTGTGTTTGGTCACCACTGATTCTTCCAGTGGTTGTAGACACTTAAAGAGGGCTGTAAGTGGAAGGCACGCAATTGCTCTTATCGGGATACTGAAAACCAGCTCGAATAATGCCTTTTAAGTCTGTGATCCCTTGTGAGTTTGAGAAGGCTTCTTCGGCACACCCAGCGGGCTTCTCTTAGCGGTGGGTGTGCTTCTAGGTGAGCCCTGTGTACGAGGAAAGGCACCAGCCTTCCTTTCCAAGGCTAGTCTGAATTGGTTAGTCTCCTGTCGGTCACTTAGTGGATGGCGTTTCATGGAGTTGAGGCAACAGGATGTCCCCTTAGGCTCGAGGAGGACGCCTGGGCGGTGTGTCTCCTCCGAAAGGTGTGCTGATGTAAAAGTGCTCTTTCATGTGAGATTACTTTAAAGCATTTGGCTACACAGTACTTCCACTCCATGTCCAACTACAGGCACTTAAAAAAGTGAATTTTAAATGTGTCTGTATTTATGACACTCTTTCCCACATTTGGTCTCAGTTTCTCTGAAACTATTTTGTTCCTTGGGTTGCTACGTAGACAGGGGATTTCTGAAGTTGAATTGTTCTTTCTGTGACGTGATGTTAAAGTTTTAACTGCTGTCATTCCAGAGAGAATTTGTGTTACTTTCTGGTAATTAAACGTAAATTTAAAACCAACTAATTGCTTAACTTCCCCGGTTATTGAGTTGCCAATTTTATATATTTGCAATATATATGTATATTCAGATGATCTATTACTAACTGCCCCATCATTTTAATTTTTCCCCACTCCTAACAATCCAGCTGGGAGAAAGATGAGGCTTTCTACTCCCATAAAGAGTTAAAATTTTGGGACGCACAGGGTAATGCTGCCCGTCCTGTAGAAGGGCTACGAGTTGGAATCGACTCCGTGGCAGTGAGTTTGGAACGGATCCGCCGAATTATTCATTTCCTGACTTTTTGCATGTTTACCCTGTGGTCAGCTCATGTCCCATGAGATTATGACATCATACTGGTCAGAAATGGAATGCTGTACTCACACACTGTATTTCAAAGTGTATTTAAAAGGTTAAAATGTGAAACAAACTTACTTCATTTAAGTCTGTGTTGGAAATTCTGTGTGCGGGTGTGGAAATTGTGTTAGAGGGTAGTGAATATAAGCAACTCTCTTGGCAAAGATGAGCTGAGGGAAATCAGAAACAAATTTAAGGTATTGTTAATTAGCTGTGGTTTGCGGAGATATTGGAAGAAATGTGTTTTTAGTCTCCCAGGTAAATGGAATTAACAGACTTAAATTTGTGCCACAGTAAGTCTTTGGTTTCAAAGCTGAAACGTCACTATTTATTCTTTGCTTCCCAAGACTTCCAAATTCGAGCACACTAACGGATCTGGAAGAGGGTGGCGGCATTGATGATTCTGCCTAGTGGGGAGGGTGGGCCGAGAGACAACACAAGCCAGATTTGGATTTATTAGTTGACTCTGAATTCTGTTGGAGCCTGGTGGGGACGGTGCTAGACAATATAGAGCCTTCCAGTAGGGCTGGGGACTGATTTGCAAAGGCTTTGCAGCCTGTAGATGAGGCCTTTACCAATTAAACAGCTCCACTTTTGGGTAATTAAGGTTTGTGCCTGTGAAGAGATTTAATTGGGATATTCTTCTTTCCCTTTGACCAGGTGAGCCCCATATGGGGGTTGGCAGGCAGCAGAGAGGACCCTTTCAAGGTGTGCGTGTGAAAAACTCGGTGAAGGAGCTCCTGTTGCACATCCGAAGTCACAAACAGAAGGCTTTGGGCCAGGCTGCGGGTGATTTTAAGGTGGCGCGCAGTTTTTGTTTGGGGGGAGGGTGGGGGATGACTTTGGCATGGTTATTCTCTGTTAACCTACGTTCGGGCAGTTAGTTGCTATCTGTCCTAAAATGCACGGGTTGTGGTACAGAGGTCATATTTGTGTTCTTACCCGTCATGTTCCCATCACTCAACCCAGTGCCAGGCACCCAGTAGGTGTGCAAGAGACATTTAATAAAGGACCACAGGTGACTCACTGGACTCACAGCTGTGGGGTTGATTTTGACTCATGGCGACTCTGGCACAGGCTCGCTCCCTTCCGAGGGCTTCTGACGCTGTCGGTGGGTCCCGATCTGTAACTGAGTCAGCAGCCAGTGTCCCATGAACCACGGCCTCCACCGGCGCTTCCTAAAAGCAAATTAGGAGCAAGGGAAGGGAGAGGATTTAACCGAACTGAATGAAGTACTTCGACTAGAAAGGGAAAACTCAGGGCCTGAGTATTTTATTTATTTATTTTGTCTTGACCTGAGTTGGGCTAAGATGAAAGTGAAAATGGGGACGTTGCACGATACAATGAAAAAAAAATGGACTTAGAAAATCAATATTGATATCAAAGATTTATGGCCAGCCATAAAAGGTGATGGAATTGAGTCTGCTGACTGCTGTATGGTAAATAAGCAGGAAGCCGTTTTATGAATACTAAACTGGAAGCTTTTTCCCTTTACAGACTCAAGGCGTGAACACGGAGCCATTCGCAGGTAAGAGTTCTATTTAGAATCTGATGGGGACTTTAAAATAATTTAGTCTGATGATAGGTAAAGTTGTCTAATCATGGACTGCACGTTCCTTTCCTGAACGCAGAACTGAAGAGCACATTATCATATATTGGGAAAAGGACGGGGCCTGATTCATTGTCTGATGGACCCGCTTGCAAAAGGCCAGCTCTGTTGCACACCCAGTGTTTGGTAAGTGCCCCAGTATTTCCCTCTGAAAGCCCTTTTGACATTTATCCTGGGATAATTTTTGAAGGAAGTGAGTGTGCAAAACTTGTTTTTTCTTTTCCAGACACCACCCCAAACGCCAACACCAGGGCTCGAGAGCATGGACGATGTTCATCACAGGGACCCCAAACCCGACCGCTGTGCCGACCTGCTTCAGAACATTATCAACATCAAGAACGAATGCAGCCCAGTGTCCTTGAACACAGTCCAGTTTAGCTGGATGAGCCCTGGGGCCATCCCGCAGAGTTCTCCCAGAGAGCCATGTCAGGATTTCCATGGGGGGCAGGTCTTCTCTCCACCTCAGAAATACCAACCATGTCAAGTCAGTGGCTCCCCTCAAGTGATGGATCAGGCTTCCTTGTACCAGTATTCTCCACAGAACCAGAATGCGCAGCAGCAGCCACCACAGCAGTATCATCCCCACACCCCAAGTCTGGAATATAGTCCTTATTCTGGAACTCAGTCCCCCAACTATGAACTGAATCTCTTTGATGGGGAGGCCCCACATTTCTGCCCAAATCAAAGTTTTGCATCTCTCCTAAGTCATCATGGGGAATCTGAGAACACAGCCGTTCCCATGCAGACCCCCCCCAGTATCCAGCAACCCAGTGGGGCCCACCTACAAAACTCCATCGCGATGCCGAGCAGTGCCTGTGAGGCCATGGCCAGACACAGTGCAGGGTCTCCCCCAGTAAGCACCCCACTGCCGTTCCAGAGCATCACTGGAAATCCAATGAATACCACCCAGTTAGGAAAATCCTTTTTTCAGTGGCAAGTCGAGCAGGAAGAAAGCAAGTTGGCAAATATTTCCCAAGACCAGTTCCTTTCGAAGGATGCAGATGGTGACACGTGAGTAGCCCTTTATCTCATCTGCCGAGTTTGATCAGCCACCCTTGTTGCACCTACCGGGTATACAAGTAATTTGTCTAAGGTATACCCAGTTCTACTGTCTTAGTACATGGTTGGTTGGCTTCCCAACATAACTTGGAGAGGAAACTGCTGCTTGACGATAGCTGATCCTTTAAGGGAGAGTTTTTATCTCTCTACTTTGTTGGATGAACAGTTTACCTGATCTTATCTTACGGATAAGAATACTTTTGTCTTCTTTGGATAATTGGTCGTAGACGAACATTACAGATCCTTTGTAGAGAAGAAGCAAGTAATTAGGACTAGATGACAACTCTTGGTTGGCGTGTATGAGTAGATTGACTCTCTCTCTATTGTCCCGTTGCCTGTTGGGAAAGTAATTTACCCCTCAGTGCCTTGCCTTCTTGGTTTGTAAAATACTACTTTCCTCATGGTATTTTAAGTAATATTAAAAATAAAGTGACCAGTCTGGTGCTGTTCTGGTTTCTGATAGCTGAACTCCTTTCTCTTGCAGTTCAGATACATCAACCTAGCAGAGAGGCTTTCTTTGAGCACATGTTAAAGAAAGGTTTAAAGGGAGAATTTTTAGGTAATGAACTCCCTGAAATCAAAAGTAACTTACCTTTTTGCTCTTTCGTGTACCCCAGGTTTCTCCATATTGCTGTTGCCCAAGGGCGAAGGGCACTTTCTTACGTCCTTGCAAGAAAGATGAATGCACTTCACATGTTAGATATTAAAGAGCACAATGGACAGGTGAGAATCTGGACAGTCTGCAATGGCGAAGTTGTGGTCTTGGTGGAGAGGAGTGGTGACCAGTCGCATGCTGCAGTATAGACTAGTTCAGAGCTCACGCCCCAGAGTTAATATTAACTCTTGAGATGTTGACTCTTTACCACCATCAACCTTGAAGTTAGCCACGTTAACTTTGTAGTTGGCCAAAGATTAACTGGGTGTAATAAAGCTGCACCCTAACTTCTTTCAGGTTCCCGGTCTTGCAATATCTGATTGCTTATTAGTAGCAGGATTTATTTTCTTGGTGTGGGTTTCCCCCGTCTGAGCGTAGGTTCCCATTCCTTGTTGTGGTCGTGTTAGCTATTGACACAGTTATGCTTTTTCTTGTGTGCCCACAGAGTGCATTTCAGGTGGCAGTGGCTGCCAATCAGCACCTCATTGTGCAGGATCTGGTGAACCTGGGGGCCCAGGTGAATACCACGGACTGCTGGGGAAGAACACCTCTGCACGTCTGCGCTGAGAAGGGCCACTCCCAGGTGCTTCAGGTAAGAGGCCCCGAGTGAGACGCCCATCCTCCCAGGCTCACAGAGAGAGGGCTTGGCTCTTAGAAGTTGGATGTCTGTTGTCTGCTGTGGTCATTCACTTTGGGTTGACCCGATCTTATTTTTTGGCATGGTAACACAGAAGGTCTTTGTGTAGCTTGGCTTTTTCTCACAGATGTCTGTTTTTGAAACTTGCAGGCAATTCAGAAGGGAGCCGCGAGGAGCAGTCAGTTTGTGGATCTCGAGGCGACCAACTACGAAGGTAAGCCCCTGGACTTCTGCTGGGCAAGGAGCCAGTTAGAGTGTGGGCCATGCACTGCAAGGCTCCTTCCTGAGTTTCTTAAGAAGGAAAAGCAGAGGTAGAAGTGGTCATCTTCCCATAAGTAAAACTAACACCAAGTTCCAATGGAGGGGCTATTCAGGTTACCTTGCTCGCTCTTGCGTTGCCCATTTGTAGGTTAGGTTAGGATGGTGACACCACTCTCTGGGAGGCACTGGAACGCTCCAGCGGAGCTGCAGATGTAGATGTCCATGCTTTATCCTGGGTTATAGACTAGAGTACAGAAGATTTAATTACAGGGTGATTTTTTTTATTTTCAGAAGGGGGCCGTGGGCCAGGTATATTTGGGAACATACGAATTAGAGGCACCATCAAGGCTTGCATTCGTAGAGTGGCAAAGCTGGCATTTTTAGCCTTGATGGGAGGCTTGACCATACTTCCTTACATTTTGTGTCTAGGCCTGACTCCACTTCACTGTGCAGTTGTGGCCCACAATGCTGTGGTGCATGAACTCCAGAGAAACCAGCAGCCCCACTCACCTGAAGTTCAGGAGCTGCTACTGAAGAACAAGAGTCTGGTTGACACCATTAAGTGTCTGATTCAAATGGGAGCAGCAGTGGAAGCCAAGGTCATTAAATTCACGGATGCGGTTTGAAGTAGGGTAGCAGGGAAAAAGTGGTATACCAAAAAGCGTTCAGACCTGTACAGGTGATGAAAACGTAAAAAACACTTTTGAATTAATGGAATAAGTAGCAATGTATGGCTACTTGAGCTTAGATTTTAAAAGAGTTTTTAAAAATCTTTTTTATTAGTTGGGGTTTAATACATATATCAATCACATCAAGTAGGATTGTACAATTACTGCCACCATCAGCTTCCAAACATTCCTTTTCTACACAGACTCCTCCATGCAGACGGTCATTTAGTTCTGGAATGCGTTTGTCTTGTTGAAAGGAGAGGAAGGGTTGGCATTGATACTGTCGTCTGGCTTCCATTGTCATGCTTGGACAGTTTTATGAGGATGTCTTCCTACTTGTGGGATCTAAACAAAATCTTTTTTACTCTCTTGAAACTGGGGGCGTAGTCACTGAGCACCTCTTATGTATAAGGGGTTGGGTTGGGTGCTTTGGGGGGAAAATGGCTGAACCATTTTAGGTGCTTGGGGAACTTATTGACAGAAGAAGTGAGCTGTAGGTAGTTACGATTCTCCAGGATGCGAACCAAGGCCAGAAACAGGCAAATACATCATAAATGGTTGACACCATGAAATACAGTTTTGTCATCTGTTTTTGTTTTCCTGGTTGTCCTATGTATAAGGTAGACCGTTGTTAGTGGCCCACTAACAAGGAATGAATAGACATTGAAGGAGGAACGCGAGGGTCTGTCTAGTCGTTAGGGAAAAGGGACTATGCAGAGTTTGAGGGCGGAGTCAGAGCCTGGGGAGGCTGGCTGGAAAGAAGAGTCCAAGGCATGGCACCAGATGTTCATTTTTGCTTTCTCTTGCCTTTGGAAAGGATCGTAAAAGTGGCCGCACAGCCCTGCATTTGGCAGCAGAAGAAGCAAATCTGGAACTCATTCGTCTCTTTTTGGATCTGCCCAGTTGCTTGTCTTTTGTGAATGTAAAGGTAGGGACCTTTGCACCTTCGTCAAGCTTTTGCCTGCCTTTTACGAGAGCATGTCTTCCTGATGGGTGTCATTTCATCCCCGCGCCTTTAGGCTTACAATGGAAACACTGCCCTCCACGTTGCTGCCAGCCTGCAGTATCGGGTGACACAGTTGGACGCAGTCCGCCTGCTGATGAGGAAAGGAGCAGACCCGAGTATGCGCAACTTGGAGAATGAGCAGCCTGTGCACTTGGTTCCCGACGGCCCTGTGGGAGAACAGGTGAGGACCACAGAAGTGGGACGGCATCCCTGCAGCTACTCGCATCCGACAGACCCAGGGCTGAGGGCTACTGTCCAGTCTGTGTACGCATATCACACCTCAGAGGTAATGGCTCTGTTTTCAAATGAAGAGTAGGGAATTTGAGGATTTATCGCCGGATCCCAAATGGTCAGCTAGTCTATTCTCCTCTTCCTTGTTGCACACTGGGTTTTAGAGTTACTCAGAATGATGGGATTTGGAAGTCAGCGCCATAGCTGACTAAACAAGGAATAGAGGTTATTTCTGTGACTCAAAACTTAGAAATATTTTACTATCGAAGCCAAACTAAGCTTCATTTCTCAACTACGGCTCTGCCTTGCCACTGGAGGTTGAATAGTTGTCCACCAGTGAACATCCCATGTGCCTTAACGCCATTTTAAGAGGCCTACCTCAAGTGGATGGCTTTAAAGAACAAATTCCGAGGCCCATTTCAGTCTGAATTCAGGGGAAAGCACCCGCATCCTCTCTTGTCAACTCTGGGGGAGGTCCTTGGGTCAGCCTCTGAAGCCTGGTGTCCCTTGATTCCTGGCACCTCTCTCCCCATTTTTGCCACCTTGTTTCTGTGTGTTCTGGTCCTTAGAGCGCAGAGCAGTGAGTTTGAGAACATAACCAGAGTAACTCCAAGAACAGCAAAGAAAAACCGATTTCCAAATGGGATCGGGCCCACAGGTTAGGAGTTAGAACTGTGGCACGTGGTTTGGGGAGGCTCGGTATAGTCCATCATGCTTGTTAGGCTGTGGGGCCAATTTCCGCTCATAGCAACCCCACATGCCAGGGCAGGACTGCCCTATCGAGTTTTCTAGACATTAATCTTTAGGGGAACAGACTTCCAGTCTATCTCCTGCTCCCTCACGCTGGATAATGAGGATTTAGCCTTTGAAGAATGTAGCTTTGTGATGGCAGCCTTTCCTTCAGCGGAATTACCATCTGTAGGTTGGCCCCCTTTCATAACCACAAAATAAAATGTATAGAGTTTGCCCATTTCTCTGACTCAGTCCTCATCCTGATTATAGTATTTTAGCAACACATGTTTAGCTCTGTATAATTGGAAAATAAATCTCTGGCTTATAACGAGCTCCCATGTTTCATGCCACTCAGTGGTTATGAAAAGTGCACAGTATAGAGGTTCAATTGAAAAAATCCCGTCACTCAGCGGCCCCTGGGACGAAACCTAGTGATTTGACATGGATCTCAGCCCAGGATTTACTTCTGTCTCACTGGTTGTGGAAGGCTTCCACACTGCACTGTCCAGGGACAGTTCAGATATGCAGGGCGAATGCACGCTTCACTAATTGTTCTCAGATAACTCTCTCTTCCCCCTTTTGATTTTTGGGGTGCACATGTTCTTGTCCCTTGTTTCTCTTGTCACGTTTTGGCTGCTGTGTGCCCTCCTCAAGAACCTGACTGCCAGTGAGTCAATGCTGATGCAGAGCGGCCGTACAGGACAGGGTCGGACTGCCCCTGTGGGCTCCCAGACTAACTGTGTGCCCTTATAGCAGCTACCAATTGCATTACCTACCCCAGTCTTTTTTAACTTTGTTGTTTCTAAGCTGCAGCGGGCCCAGGAATAGGTCCAATGTGTCAGGCTGCAGCACACAATAAATGACGAGGCTCTGAATGAAAACTGGGGCCCTTATCAGTGACCCACAAAGTTCTGTGATGGCTGCTTTGATTTGAAGGGCTTTCAGACTTACTCGTGTGCACAGAAATTTGGATTTTAGATTCTTGTCGAGGCTGACTTCAAGATTCGTGTGCTATTATAATAAAGAGTGTAAATACTGTCTTGTATTACGTATTCTCACAAATAGCAAGCGTAAAGAACAGGACGCGAGCCTGGGTCTTGAGTGACCCTGGCTTGCAGGACCGAGTAGAATAAGGCTGCTCTTGATGGAGGCAGACTGTCTTCTGCTGTGGAGTGGCTTGTGGGTGTGAACTGCCATTCTTCAGCAGCCAAGCACTTAGCTGCTGTGCCGGCAGGGTTTCTGTGAGCTGCCTTCAAGCCTTGGGAAGTGCCGTCAGATCAGTCAACAGGAATGGCATACACGTGCAGAGGGAGTGCAACTCTGAAGGAAACCTGATACTCTGTCCATAGGAAAACAGCCCTCCTAAGTCCTCCTCTCTCTCTTGCAGATCCGCCGCATCCTGAAGGGAAAGTCCATTCCGCAGAGAGCCGCACCGTATTAGCCCCGCCGCCACCGGCGCGGAGCCTGGTCAGCAACACTCACTGTCAGTTAGGCAGTCCTAATGTATCTGTACAGAGACCATTTGCCCTGTATTGGCAAATGTAAGTTGTTTCTATGAAACAAACATATTTAGTTCACTATTGTATAGTGGGTTATATTAAAAGAAAAGAAAGAAAATAGCTAATTCATCCTGGCAGATTTGAATATTTCATACCCGGGTATCTGGGATCTAGACATCTGAATTTAATCTGAATCGTAAAATCGATTTCAATTAGCAGTCGCTTTTGGGTAGGGAAAGCCTTTTGTTGGAACAAGGCATTGCTCACGTAGCTATTGCCGATTTAAAAGCAAATATAGAGTGTGAGCAGTACCTTAAGGGAAAATGAATGCATTTGAAAGGAAAAAATGTTGCTTATGTCGAAAACTTATATATATGTATATAAATGAGTAGTGTGTTGAGGCTGCTGGCCTGAAGTTTCTAGTCAGTGGGCCATTTGAAAGGTGTCCGTGGATAAAAATGTCATCTTCGGACACCTCCCTGGTCATCACTGTGGCCATATTGCAGTACGAATGAGTGAGGCAGAGAAGAACACGGGGGCGTGACTGTTTTAGAGGTGGCACACACGCCTGCCTCGGAGCTGCCTTGTGTCTCCCTCCTGGAAGCTGGGTGGAGAGCCAGGGGAGCAGGGTGTGGAGTGCCGCACACCGACACTTGCTCTTGTGCAATGGGATGAAATGTGCACTGAGATGAAATGTTGGTAGCAAATTGCATGCTCTCAAGGAGAACACCTCTTACAGCCGCATGTTTTAGCATTTATCATGTACATGCTCTGTTGGAATGTTTGTTTCACCTGTATGTGAACAAATCAGTACTGAGACATGTCTTAACTGTCTCCCTTATGTAAAACAGTGATGACAATGCCACTAGTTTATATTACTCCCCAGAAAATATGCTTTGCAGTAGCCTTAATCTGTTAATATTATTTTGCTTACCTCTGATAGGCCCTGAGAAACTTCTTTGGATTTGATTGCACATTAATTCTTTGTAATAAATTTGACTCAATAGAGATGTTTATACTTATTTTTTTAATGAGAAACCTCAAAACTGACTGGTGGGTTTATCTTTGTAGCTCAGTATTTAAATGCTTTTTAAAAAGATACTCGTTTGACTCAGTATGTCTTAGGGACAAAAGTTTGTTCAGTCACTTGATACTGGAAAAACTCATGACTAGTTTTAAATAAACATTGTTCAATCATACCGTTTGTCTAAAGAATGTGTATTTCTTATTCCTAGGACTTCATTTATAGTTTTCCTTGTTAGAAAACTATTACAAATTACTCATCCAAATAATTTTACATCAGTACATTTCAATTTGGGTTTTCTAAAAATATGTTCCTGAAGATATAATTAACGTCTCTATCTATCTATCTATCTATCTATCTATCTATCTATCTATCTATCTATCTATCTATCTAATCTTGTCTGTCTATCTAATCTAATCTAATCTAATCTAATCTAATATAAAAACAACAAACTGTTGGCCAGGTTTCTGTTAGGATCTAAAAATACTATGGACGTCTAAATATAAAAAACAAAATAAATACAAACGACAAAACCCATTGTTGGCAACTTGGTTCTGGCTCATCTCCACCTTGTAGGAGAGAGTAGAGCTCCCCCAAATTCTTGTGGAAGCAGCAACATCTCTCTCATGAAGCAGCTGTGGGTTCAGTCCAGGGGCCTTTGGTTAGCAGCTGGTTGTTTTTAACCACTGTTACTGATAATTAGAAGTTTATATACTGAAGAACCAAGACGTGCAGGATATTGACATGCACGGTTTTAATGTGACTGGGAGTAGTGCACGGAGGAGATACAGTTTGGAGGTGATTAGAATTATCCTGAGAGGGACTTAAACCAGGGCCAGCAGTACATGGGATCCTTCTCCAACAAGACATCTCTGGCTGTGAGGACAAGTGTCAGCACCTCTGTCATCGTCAGTCACAGCAGCAGTTGCTGCCCTGCGTGCCTCGTGTTTCCACATCCTGTGGGCTCTGGAGAGCTGTGGGTGACCTCTGGGAAGTGCACATGGACTGAAGGGTGTGTGACAGGTGCTCCACGGGCCCCCAGAGACCGGGCCACACGGGTGAAGGGTCTGCTTTTGTTCGTGCGCTTTCATCTCTGTCGATGAAGTTCTTTTGACAGATCTGTTCTTTGCATAGCAGCGGAATTCAAAGACATACTTTGCTTTATAAATGTAACCGAGTGAGAGTTAAACTGATAGAGCATGGATGTACAGTAAACCTTCTTCTACAGGTTCACTTTTAATTACCCAATTGAACCAGGTTGTGTTTTGTGTGTGTGCACATGTGTTCAAGACTAGACTAGAGCATATGAGACAGTGGAAGACCAAAAAGGCACTGTTTATGTGAGGCAAGGCATGTGCCATCAAAGAAAGGTGGAGTACAGAAGTTCAGAAAAGGAAGAGTTTCTCTCTGAACGGGGCAATTGGGAAGGCTTCAGGATAGAGAAGGCATTCGACCTGGATTCTTAAACAAGCTGACTTTAGCGTTTATAGAAGTGGGGAGAGGCAGGATACAGAAACAAACCCCAAAGGAACATGAAGGTATGGTATTTTGGGGGAAACTACAGGTGTTTCCATGTAGTTTGCTTAGAGTCTGAAATGCCAGTAAGACATTTAATGGCTCCACCTCTGACTGACTGGCTAAGAGTCCTGGAGTTTCCTGTTGAGAAACGTCCTCGGGCAGTTTATAGGTTTGGCAGGAGATTGGCAGTGTCTGCCGTATAAGGAGGGTGGCTCTTGGTGAAATTTGCCACTGTGAGCCATGTGGTAGCCAAGATTCGTTCATTGTTGCAACCTCAGTGCCAGGCATGTGGGAGGAGCTCCTGAAATACTAGTTAAATGAATTAATTGTTTTGATTGAGGGTGGAGGAATTGGCAATTTGAGCCAGCAATATACTGTTAAGTAATCAATTAGTAACCATCAAAATTCTGATCTCGACTTAGTCATATAATTTAACAGTTCCATAAATGGAAACATCTCAGACATAACCAAACACTTTGAGGGCATGGGTAGTTGAACCTGGGGCCTCAGGATCATAGTCTCAGGGGACATTACAGTCATTTGACATAACCTAGTCCACAAAGACGGTGTTAGACATCATAACTGGGTATCGACTGGGATCTTAACTCCTAGGCAACCATTTAGGGAACCATGGTTCTCCCCCTGTCCTGAGGAAAGAAAAGTATTGAGAATCAAAAGGCAGGTGGAAGCCATTCGTACAAGGGGCTAATGGAGCAGGCAAGCACCAGTCTCCACAACCCTGAGACTAGACGGACGAGGTGGTGCCTAGCTGGCACTACCAACTGCTCTGGGAAGGATCACTTAGAAGGTCCCAAGCAGAGGGGGAGAAAA